GGTTGTGATAATTCATGGATCAAATTAGAATTTAAGAATACTTCAGACCTTTAATGAATGCAATTTCACCTTTAATGAAATACAAAGAAAAAAAATTAATTTGATCGTTGCTTCGGTGATTTAATCTGATATCTTAATCCTTTCGTATTATGGTTTGAGTTTGAGGTGTTATATTTTTTTTAAATTTCATTAAAAATTTTAATAACTTTTAATAGAAGTCAATCAAATGTCACAACATCAACAAACTTAACGATTATTAGTTTCTCAACAATAATGGTAACTAAATGAGTTCAATTAATCGTGATTTTTCTAAAAAATATAGCTAGGTTGTTCAATAATTGAAAGAAATAACTCAATTAATTATTAAGTATAATAATAGGCTAAATATATTTAAAATATATGAATATTTTTTTATTAATATAAGATGATTATAAGATAGTATTTATTTGAAAGATTTTCAATCATTTGATAATAAACATTCATACACTCCTACCAACATCGAATGTAAGACTTTAAAAGATAACAATTGTTTCTTTAATTATCGAGATTATTTAATTCAGGTAATATATGACTATTTTTTATAATAACATATTTTTTTAAAATATATCTTACAGTCCTATATCTTATAATTTATTGATCCATATTCTTTTATTTATTTGTTTTTCCTGCTGTCAAAAGCCGTGTGGCGCGAAGCATATATTCTTCTAAAGCTTCTCCACTATAGCCTACTTTGTTTTGAATAGCTATGGCCCATAGCCTACTTAAAGAACGATTAAGCTTTATTTGACAAAAGAATGTCAAACTTCTAGAAAGAGAAAAAGGGCTACATACATCTTATGTATCCACCGTTACTTTTAAATTTATTTTATATAATAATCACACTGAAGAGTGATAGAGAATTAGTATTTAAATATTTAAAATATAATATATATTTATTAAGATATTTAAATTATTTTCAATCAAAATATATACTTGAAATATATTCTATTTTCTTCTATATACGTGTGGTTTTTTTAAAAATATCATATATCAACTATATGTTTAGATGGAAAAATTGATATGCTTTAAATATTTCTTGTAATAAAAAAATATTTTAGATATTTAAATAAAAATGATATATTTTAGTTGTATATTTTAATAAAAATACTTTAATTACCGAACCAAAAATAATTGGAATACATACTTTAAATATCTACATTAAAAGTAACCTTAATGATAATTATAATATTTATGAGAATGTGTATTTAATATGTTTAAGTGTATAATAGACGAACATGGTATAAGAAAACCCTTCAATTGACATATGCTTGAGGTTCTTATTTGTGGTGAGGGATTCCTTTTACCGACAGACATCGACTAATTTAAATAAAGAGTAAACAATACCTAAATTATTAATTTCAGTCTGTTTCAGTATTTAAATTTTATTTTTTAAAAATTATATTTAATATTTAGTTTTTGTTTCATTTTAGTACTCGCTATTAAAAAGTTAAAGCGTTTAGAACTAAACTATCAATTTTGATTTGTTTTATTACCTAAACATTCAATTTTTTTCAAAACATAACTTTAAATTTTTAACGGGATACTAAAATGAAACAAAAACTAAATATTAAGTATGATTTAAAAAAAAAGAAAAATTTAAGTATTAAAATAGATCAAAATAATAGTTTAAGTACTTAAGGCGTAACTTACCGTTAAATAAATCAGTTTGACAGTTGCCCACCTCTTAAAATGATAAAATTTTATTAAATTTCATTAAAATTTATAAAGATATAAGTTTCATGAGGTCATCTAAGTAATTATAAAATTCCAAAATTTAAAAATTTAGTCAAATTAATTCAATACTCTCAAAAACATTTATAATTAATAAGATCTAAAATATAATAGGATAAATAATATTTATACAAAAATTGAAATTTTGAATATGGTATAATATAAATCAAAATAAGAATAATATATAGTTTATTAATCAAAGTACTAGTAAAGTATTATGAATTCATATACCCACTAAATTAAAATTAAAATTATATTCTAAAAAAGAAATGTCGTAAATTCCTCAACGATTGTGTTTATCAACTTGCGAACAAAAATATCCGAATTTTAAGTTTTACAAACTCAACAACATACTTTTACTCTACTACACTTTTAATTCCGACATCTAACTCAAAACGATTAGCGATAACTTTATTTTTCAAAACACATTATTTTTATAAAAAAATCGAATAATATACTTGTATAACTATAATTGTATAACTATAATCATAATTAATTATTAAATAGTATAAATAGACAAATTGATTATCAAAATATATTTGAATTTATATTAAAATATACTTGAAAAAGGAAAAATATATAATGACTTAAACTCGAAATGATTAAACTATAAAAAAATTTCTATAAATACAAATGACTATACCGCGGCATAAAATATCAAGGATCTTTGTTTTACATTTATCGATCATATTATACATAGATAAATGCAAAATTTTATGTTAAGGGATAAATGTAAAAAATATTTAAAAGAGAAAGATTAAAATATATTATCAATAAAAATAAATTATGATTTTATCAATGTAACACCCCAAATCCCATGTTAGTAGTTCGGGTCAACCCAAAGTCTAAAGTTGAGCCCAATTGGACCTTATAAAATAGTTAGACCCAGTTTAGTGTTTTTGGGCTTGAGTTGAGCCTAAGAGTTAGTTGGTAAAAGATGAATGTCTTACGAATTAGAAAATAAAGGAACTAAAAGTGAAATTTACTTAATTCTTAATTCAAAAGCTAAAAACTCTCATATTTTAAGAGATATACAAAAACAACTCCCCATTTCCCCCCACCAAACACTCATCTTCTTCTTCTATATTTTCTCTTTTCTTCTCCCATCTTCAAGTTGAAGGATTTAGGAATTCAAGTTTAGTTTGGGTCAAACAAAGGTAAGATTATTAACCCTCACCCTTGAAACTTCATTTTAAGCTCCATTTCACTAGTTTTTATCCATAGAGAAAAAAATGGGTTTTTAGAGGGTTGTGAGAATCTATGTATTCTAGCTATGTTTTGGATTATAAGGAGTTATTTAGAATGTATCAAACCTATAGATGGATTAGTAATCCATTTTCTTACCTTGTTTAGTGAAGAAAGTGAGAGAGAGTTCCAAATCAAAAGGAAAATAAAAGTTGAGCATTAGTTGAGTTGAGGAGAGTTCTAGTCACCAAAGAAGTAAGGTAACACCCTTACAACTCTTCTATACTCTTAGTGCGTCATTAGAAGTTCAAAATAGTTTAAATGGTTGGGTTGAGCATGATAAGCATTTTCATTGTGAAATTCTTGTTTTAGAGTTATAAATGTGTTTAAAGCCTCTATTATGACCCTTGTTGATTCAATAAAACTTTAAGCATGTTTGGGGACTTCACTAAGGTCTTTGAGTTTGAAATATAGCATTTTTAGTATGTGTCTGATGACTTCTGCAGGTAGAGTATCGATACTATTGGGATAGTATCGATACTATTGGGATAATATCGACACTTGTTCTTCGTTTTGGGTAAATTTGTGTATTTCTGAGCAAAAGCATCAATACTCTTTCAAGAGTATCAAAACTTTGGGTCATAGTTTCGAAACTTCCATAAAGTTTCAAAACTTGGTAGAACATAATGTTTAAAAGTATCGATACTTATATGAAGTATCGAAACTTTTGCAGGAGTATATATACTCTTAGGGTAGTATCAATCTTTTTAGTCTGTTTTGGGCAAAAATGTCAAATTTTAAGGGAATTAGAATTGAGGTACCCAACACTTCATTTTATTATCAAATAAGACTGCAAGTGAGAATATTAATGATATTAATTACACTTAGAAACAATATTTATTAGGATGACATAAAAATAGCCTTGAATGATTCTCGGGAAATGACCAGGACACTCGAGTTTCTTTAGAAAATGCTAGCATTATCAAAAGTATAGATTCATCCAGATTTATCATTTGGTAGGGCCGAGGCCTTTCTGACTAACTATGTTTGTTGAGTCCTTAATAATATTTAGAAGAAAGGGTGAGTTAGTAAGGGGTATGGTTTTCGATGCAGAGAATTCCAGGGGCTATATCCAGGGTAAACTAGAGGGGTGTGTGAACTCCGAGATGTAGAACCCTCAATTGTACTATGATGTCTGCCATAACGTAGAGAGTGAGTATTCAAGAATACTCACTAAAGCAGTTTTAAAGCATACTAGCTTGGGCGCAAGGTCCAACACTCAAGGAGTGGGCTAGTATAATAGAATAGATAGTAGAATAGAGAACAACAGACTTGATAGCTTGAGCATGTCATGAACACTTTTAATAGTGTGGCACTAGGTTAGTTAGCTCAACGTTTGGAATTTGTTTCCTTACGCAGGTTAGACGAGGAGGAGTCGGAGGACTTTTTGGGACCAATAGTGATCCAAATCCAGTTAGTGCAAAGTACGTCTTAGGTCATCTTTATAGAGGGCATGTATTCTTGTGAACCCTTTGTATATTTTGTATGGGTCGTTTTTGAGCGATGATCTGTATGATTTGAAATAATATTTTTAGGAGCTCCTGATGTAAATTATTTTATTTAAATAGTGGTTGATTCATTTTAGCGTGATTGTTTACAATGATAATTTTTAAAGCAGAAAAATTTAAAAGAAAATTTTGGTTAACCACTCCGGTGGTTCCGTGTAACATTCTGATCCGTCAAACTATGTGTCGTACCGGTTTGAACTTTGAGTAAAGCATGGAATGTAATGATATAAGGTATGAATTCATTTTGAGCATAGATTCCGGCTAGGCTGGCATCAAGCGTACCAAAAGTCTTTCTTCCGTTATTCTTTTGGATGATCAAATCACAGCTTTTTCAATTAAGGTTAAAAAATACTTTGTAAAATACATTTGAAACAATTTATCTTTATTATTATTTAATGTAGTAAAACAAAGGGGTAAATGCTTTATAAATATTGTCATCTGCGACTATAAATAAATAAATGATTTGTGTCGAGTAAATCTCGATTGCTGATGCTTATAAAAACCTAAAGATCTGTTTCCTACAATCCATGAACTACAAGCAGCAATAAATATCATTAGCATAGCAATAGCAATAGCAATAGCAATACTGTTTTTCGTTTTTCATTTAGCCAACATCTTCCGGTTCATCGACAACCATGGAAATGGGAAGAAACAAGGGCGGCAGCTGTGGAAGCAGGCAACGGTTCTCGGGGAAGGCAAAATCGAGGTCCAAAGGCACTGATGCCGAAAGCCCTTCATGTAGAAACTATTTCCCGCTTCCAGCTAATGAACAACCGAGCCAGTGCCAAGGTGGACTTCGAAGCCGCGTGCGAACCTTTTGTAGAGAGAAAATCAGAGGAAAGACGAATCAAAGTACCGTAACGCCTTCCCTGAATCTCCCGCCCTCGGCGGTGAGATCGAACAAGCGTGCAGTGCTTTGCGGAATCACTTACAACAACTTGAAGCAGTACAGGCTTAAAGGAACTACTAACGACGTCAAGAACATGAGAGAGTTGTTGATCACTAAATTTGGCTACCCTGGAGATTTCGTTCGTGTCCTTACTGGTATTCTTCGTCATTATCTGACGGTAAAATTCCCATCAATTCCATGTTTCTAATTTCGGTTTAATTGAGAATTGTAGAAGAGGAGACGAACCGACAATTTATACCGACGAGGAAGAACATCGAGGATTCATTGCTATGGCTGGTGCAGGACTGCCAACCGGGGGATTCGTTGGTGTTCTTTTACTCCGGACATGGCTTACGGGTGCCAGATTTTAACAACGACGAGGTCGATGGATTCGACGAAACCATATGTCCAATTGATTTCAAAGAAGCGGGCATGATCGTGGATAATGATCTTAATAACCTCATCGTTCGTCCGCTCACTAGTGGCGTTACTCTTCACGCCATTGTTGATGCTTGTCATAGTGGAACCATTCTGGATCTTCACAAAGTATACACCAGTATAAAGTAAGTTTACTCATTCTATCAAACTTTACGATAAATATATTCTCTTTTTTCTCTCTCCTTCTTATGTGATATAAAGATGAGACAAATGCATATTCTATTCTCTAACTTCAATGAATTAGTGAATGCAATGAACACTTCATTTTCCAGATTGACAGGGAGAATCAATACTCAAAACAACCTGTTGATTATTCCCTACTTTATCACTATTATTAATATATCCAATTTTATTATTAGTCCTTATACTGTACATAAATTGTGAATTTAGTCAATGTATTTTTCTTTACAGGAGAAAATGGGAAGACAATAGTCCTCCCTCGGGTGTATATAAAGGTACAAATGGTGGATTAGCCATTTCTATCAGTGCTTGTCTAGATAACGAAGCTGCTGTTGATACCTCTGTAAGCCATAAAATTTTCATTTTTCAACTAAACATTGTTAACTGTATATTATGACACATGAACTGGTGCTTCAGGTCTTCACAGCTGGGAAGATGAATGGTGCTCTGACTTACATATTGGTTGAGATTCTGAAGAAATTGCCCAGTCCGACATACGGCGACTTGTTTGATTTGATTCACGAAACCATTGAAAACGTTAATCAATCTGGATGCCTTGCTAATACAAGAATCTTAAGGAGACTCTTCGATTCTAGTTTCTCACAGGCCTGTTTTATTTCTCTCTTGTTCAAGTTAATACTTAATCAAATTTTATTCACCCCGTACATTATTTATCAATATCTGTGGTTTAATCCTCTTTTGGTTATGGGGTACACAGACAACTCTTCTCTCGTCTACAGCTGAGTTCGACGTTTACAGGAAGCATTTGTTTTTGTAAACAAATTTTGGTGCAACAGATACATATATATTGCCACCTGATTCAGAGCTGCGAAATGTTTGTTTGTCCATGAATCAACATTGGAGGATGTTAAGTATAGATAAGGTGCAGTTGCTGTGATGGTGTGCTCCGGTGGTTGTAACTTGTTAGTTCTAGTTGTTAGCTAGCTGTTAAGGTTGTTAGTTTGTTATTCATTGATGTTAGCAGTTTGTAGCAGTTAACTTGAGTTTGTAAGCTGTATAAAACAACATGTAAACTTCAGTAAATGGCACATCTGAATATTCTTATGATATTTTACAAAGTTTCTAGTTTCTCAACATGGTATAAATCACCAAAGATCCTGGTGACATTTCTTTTGTTTCTATGGCTTGATCATGTTGTTTGGTGAAGCTTTTCCTTTTTCGAGTAGAATCAAGATGTTTACAAACAAAAAGATTAATGTTGTGCTTGATGAGATGAATTTTTGGCTGTGGAAACAGTAAGTGCTGCTTAACGTTAGGAGTCATCATCTTGAACGGTTACTTACTGGTGTGATGAAGCCTCCACCTGAATTAGTTGTTGATGAACATGGTGCAATGGTTCAAAATGAAGATTACAAGGACTTTGTTGCTCAAGACAGTACGTTGGCTTGTTGGTTGTTGTCAACCATTAGTAATCATTTTCTTTCTCAGTTTGTTGGAGCAGAGACTGCTTTTACAGTCTGGAATATAGTACTACAGTTCTTTGCCACCAAATCATCAACTGCAATTATGAATCTTCATTATAGGCTGCAGTATCTCAAGAAAGGTGAATATGGTATGCGGGTGTATTTGCCCCGAGTTAAAGAAACTTGTGATGCTTTGGCATCTTGTGGCAGTGCTGTTCTCACAGTCGGTCAGGTGACAAGCATTCTGAAAGGGTTGCCCCGGGAGTATCAACCCTTCATGGCAGTTATTACTACTAGTGGAGAGTCTTTTTCTTTAGAAAAAGTTTGTACAATTCTCATTGCTGTTGAAACTCAGTTAGCAGGGTTTGCTTCTCAAAAAGAGGTAGTCTTGGCAAGCGCTCATGTTGTTTGTGGCTTGGAGTCTTCTAAGATTGGATTGCACTCTTACTCACATCATCATCGATCTCATCAACCCTCATATTCTGGAGGTATATCTAGTTGTAGGAGTGCTCGTGGATGTGGGAGATCGCGTGTTCAGTGTCAGCTGTGTGGGAAACCATGTCATATTGTTAACTGGTGTTGGCATTGATATGATGAGAATTTTCATAGTGTCTTCTAATACCAGTCAATCTCAGTACACGGGTGACTCAGCTAATGCTAATAATGTCTCTTATGATAATTCTGGTTGTGAGTGTTGTTTGAGTAGTTCTCGATCTCAGTCGGTGATAGAAGGCTCTTCTTGTGAGCACCTATCTTCTGGCACTACTCAAGATGAATGGGTGGTGGATTCTGGCGCCACTCATCATGTGACCCCAAAGTCTGGTAATATCACTCATTGGGTGGAGTGTGGTGGTCCAAGTAAGCTCACGGTTGGTGATGGTGTTTCTTTACATGTTGATATGATTGGTGATGCTACCTTAGTAACACTAACTAGGTCTTTGTTGCTAAATGATATGCTTCATGTGCCTAGAGTAACACATAATCTTCTCTCGGTGCCCAAGTTTGCTAGGGATAATGATGTGTACTTTGAGTTTCATGCTCATGGATGCTATGTTCGTGATGCTACTACTAAGGACGTTCAACTGTGTGGTCGTGTTGAAGGTGGTTTATATATTTTCTCAAGAGATTAAGGTCCAGGTGCTTGTAGGAATGCTTCTGCATATTTAGCTATTGCTACAAACAGTTTCAAACTTTGGCATCACTGATTAGGCCATGCAACATATAGTACTGTTGCTTATGTTTGTAAAACATTTGATGTAATACTTTCTAAGGATATGAATAATATGTGTGAAGCTTGTTGCATTGGTAAAAGCCATAAATTACCTTTTGTTGATTCTACTACTGTGTATACTGTACCTTTTCAGCTTGTTTTTACTGATATTTGGGGACCGGTTCATGTGGTGTCTAATGGTTACCGCTACCATTTATCATTTGTTGATACATATTCTAGGCATTCTTGGGTGTACTTCTTAACAGATAGGTGCCAGGCTGTGACTGTCTTTAAATGGTTTCAACAAATGGTTTTGACTCAGTTTGGTGTGGCTAACAAAGCTGTTCAGAGTGATTGGGGTAGTAGGATAAAAGTCTCTCTTCTGTTTTAGCTAAAGATGTTATCATCCACCGAGTAGCCTGTCCACATACTTCTAAGCAGAATGATGTAGTTGAGAGGAAACATAGGCATATTATTGAGTTGGCTTTGGTACTATTGGCTCTGGCTGTAATGCCTGTGCGATTTTGGTATTATGCTGCTGTTACTGCTGTATACATCATCAATCTTCTGCCAACAAAGGTGTTAGATGGGATGTCTCCTCTTGAGAAGTTGTGGGGGAAGAAACTTGTATATGAGTTTATTATGATGTATGGATGCAAGTGCTTTCCACATTTGTGAGTATTTCATAGACACAATATGAAATTTAGGTCTCAACCATGTACTTTTTTAGGATGCATCCCACAACATAAAGGTTATATGTGCTTAGCTACTGATGGAAGAGTTTATATATCTAGGCACGTTGTCTTTGACGAGTCAGTTTTTCCATTCACGAGTTCTAATGCTCCTCATGTAACATCTAGTGTTACTATTCTTAAATCAAGGTCTCTTGAGCTTGTGGAAGATGTTAGCAAGTTACAAGCTTGTAGTGCTGATGTGGGTGTTGAGCCAGTTACTACTAGTTTGAGGGAGGACTTAGTACATGAAGATATGACTAAGGTAGCTGTGAGTGAGTCATCAAGCTTAAATATTGAGATTGATCAAAATGTTACAGCTGATGATTGTAATGTTGAGAGTTGTAGTGAAGATTTAAATACACGTGATTGTGTAGATTCAAATGAAGGAAATGCTATTAACGCTGCGGTGAATCATCATCCAATGCTTACGAGAAGTAAATGTGGTGTTTTCAAGCCCAATGTGTATTATGACACAATGGAATCTGTTAATGTGCATGAGGCTTTTTAGTCTCCACATTGGAAGAATGATGTGTATGTATAACTTGAAGTCTTGAGGGAAAATGGTACATGGTCACTTGTTCCATTACCTGAAGGAAGGTCAGTGGTGGGCTGCAAGTGGTTGTTCAAGTTAAAAAAGAACCCAGATGGGTCCATCAGTCGATACAAGGCATAACTTGTAGCAAGATTTTTAGGTTCTGAGTCATGACTTCAATGAAACTTTTAGTCATGTAGTTAAGTTTGCTACACTTAATGTAATTTTGTCCATAACTGTAACAAGGGGTTGGGAGTTGCGTAAGGTTGATGTGAATAATGCATTTTTGCATGGAGATTTGCATGAAGATGTATTCATGCAACAACCACATGGATTTGACCAGAGAGCTCCTGATGACACTATGTTGGTGTGTAAACTCCAGAAGGCCTTGTATGGCTTGAGGCAAGCACCTCATAACTGACATGCAAAGTTAAAATAGTGCTTGTTGCAAATAAGGTTTAAAGAGTCCAAGACAGATACCTCGTTGTTCATACGTTGTGTTCAAGGGATGTATATGTATATGTTGGTTTATGTAGATAATATAGTGATAACATGTGAGTCAAATGCACATATTGAAAAAGTTATGGAACTGTTGAGTGATGAGTTTGCTCTAAAGGATCTTGGTGAGCTTAGCTTCTTTCTTGGCATTGAAGTTAAACGGTGTGGTGAGGCGTTGATTCTTAGTCAATGCAAGTTTATGTTGGAGTTGTTAATGAAGACCAAGATGCATAATGCTGGGGGTGTGTCCACTCATATGCTGGTGACATCAAAATTTACAAAGGATGCTGGTGATCCGCTCTCTGATGTTTATGAATATAGTAGTATTGTAGGGGCACTTCTATATGCCTTCCATAAACGTCCAAATATTTCATTTAGTGTTACCAAGGTGGCACAATACATGCATGCACCAAGGTAGGAGCATTTTGTAGCTTTTAAACGAATTCTATGGTATTTGGTTGGTACACTTAACCATGGTCTTATTATAGCTCCAGCTGTGGTAGGACTACATGTTGTGGCTTTTTCTTATGCTAATTGGGGTGGCAATACGAATGATCTCACAGGTAATTGTGTTTTTGTTGGTGATAATCTGGTTATGTGGTGTTCGAAAAAGCAAAAGTCTGTCTCTCGATCCACCATGGAGGCTGAATATAGGAGTGTTGCTGATGCTACTGCTGAAATAACATGGGCGAGTGTACTTCTTGCAGATATGGGAGTTCAGCAGCCAAAGACTATTATGATTTGGTTTGACAATAACAGTACCATTGCTATAACTGCAAATTCAGTTTATCATGCTAAAACAAAGCATGTGGAGCTTGATGTTTATTTTGTAAGAGAAAAAGTTACAGCTAAGCATGTGTTAGTTAACTATGTTCCTGCTAGTCACCAAGTAGCTGATGGCTTGACCAAGACCTTGTTAATAACACAGTTTGAACTCTTTCGTGCAAAGGTCAATGTACAATCATTTATTGGGGAGAAAGAAAAAGTGGGGAGAATGTTAAGTATAACTAAGGTGCAGTTGCTATGATGGTGTGCTCGGGTGGTTGTAACTTGTTAGTTCTAGTTGTTAGATAGTTGTTATGGTTGTTAGTTTGTTATTCATTGTTGTTAGCAGTTAGTAGCAGTTAGCTCGAGTTTGTAAGCTGTATAAAACAACAAATAAACTTCAGTAAATGACACATTTGAATATTCTTATGATATTTTACAAAATTTCTAGTTTCTCAACATAGGAAAATAAGAGGTTGGATCATCTGGTAAATAATCTAGTAATTGAATGCCTAACATCCTTTTACCATTTTCATTTGGATTTTTCTATGTAATAAGCAATATATATTGCTTTCAACTAATTATGAATATCGTTATATTCATTGCTTTGTCCAAACATCTATTTGTTCATCTGGCAACGAGTCATTTTGATGTCAAATAAAATATGCCTTAATATTAATAAAAATAAAATTGAAATAAGTAGAATAGAGAGAATAAGGGTCGATCCATAGGGAATATTGAAATTTACGATGAATTGATCTTGCTTCTAGGCTAGGCGTTAACTGCAGAAGAAAGTAAAAATAAGGGTATTTTGTTTGAAGAATGAAAGAAAGAAAAATTTGAAATAAAGTAAATTTAGAGTAGAATTCAATAAAAAAAATCAGTCTCAGGCCTTCGCTTTGCCTCAAATTACATCGATCATCAAAATAGATCTTAGCTTCGGATTCATGCCGGTTACAGTCTATAGGGCCCAACCCATATAACTTGTTTTTCTCTCAATTGAACCGACAATCGAAAAAAATCTTTGATTGTTAGCCCTTATGTGGACTAATCGCAACAATCGTTATTAGTGCCAACTCGATTTAAAAGATTTGAAAAAACCCGACTCAGATAGTGTCTCGCTGAGAATCGAATCCGATCTCAATTTTCCTTAGTGGACCGTCACTAGGTGTGTTCACAGGAAGTCAAATGTTCTACAAGCTAATCTTTCCTCCCAACTATTAATTGAAAACACAATCAATCCAACGTGCACTTTTAAAAAGAAAACTTTTTTTATTATAAAAGGATGATCGATTAATGGTACTTAATCCCAGAAAACTAAGAATGTAACTCGAAGGGTATTAAGTGATTTTCAATTCTCACAATCGGAATTGAGTCATCACTTCAGCCTTTGGCTATGAAAAATTAAAAGAAGATAGCATTTTAAAAGAAGATAAATAGAAAAACTTGAAAAGTAAAAGCTTGAAAAAGAAAAGTAAAAACTTTATAAAAGAAAGAAAACAAGAACAAAGAAATCTAGAGAATTCGAGGTATGTTTGAAGCTTACCCAAGGGGGTATTTATAGCTTCCTAAAAACCCTAAAAATAATTCCTAAAAATTAGAAAAGATAATTCCCTAAATTGTTTGAATAAAATACCAAAATAAAAGATAATTCTTAAATTTGATCTGAATTTGCAGCTGAGTCTTCTGTCTTCATGAAAATGATGATTGGACCATGTAGAAGATGCTTATTATTCGCCACGTCAGCGCAGTCATGCCTACTGGTCCAACCTTGACTCCAGAAATTATTTTTGCAGAATTTAGTCCTCTTTAGCATAGTTTCTAGAATCCGATGTACTGTATAGAAAGTAAGAGAAAACACCCAACTTATAAATATAAACCGATGAACAAGGAGTAATTAACAATAAAATAATAACTAATTTAATCACTCATCAAATTTCCCCTCACTTATTCAATGCTTTCCCTCAAGTATTTCTTAATCAATGCATTAAAAATATCAAGTTACCATCTCAATTCCACAAAATTCCCAAGATCTCCCAGCAAATCAAAAGCATAGCAATTGATAAAAATTCAAGAGTAATCAATCAAAAGGCACAACTAAAAGAAAGTTTAAGAAAAACATGTCATTCCAATTATTCATTAATCTCAAAGAAACACGACTTAGTACCTCACAATGGTTCACTCATTCCGCTCAATTGTTTTGGGTAAAAGAATTGCTCAAGCCTAACTAATAAAAACATTACCATAGGCTTGTAACTAAATCCAATCTCCACTACTAAGTATGAACATGATGCAATAGTCAAGAGGTCTTTAAAAAGGGTTGTAATGTGGCTAAGGTTCAAGTAGGATAAAGGCAAAAAATCGGGTGTAAAATTTCAAGAAAAGAGAAGTTTATTCCAAAGATTTATTCAAAAGAAAGTAAAATCAAATATAGGAAAGAAATAAATCGGATGATAAAGGCTTGTATTTTTTCTTTTCTCCTTTCTTTTTTGCTCTTATTCGAATGTTCTTTTGCACTTATTTTTCTGCTCATTCGAATCTGCATTGCAATGTTCAAATTTTTTCTGCATTGTTCGAACTTAACTGCACTACTCTTTTTTTGTTGTTCGAATAGTTTGAATTTTTTTACTCTTGTGTTTTATTATGCAGTATATTTTTCTAGAATGTTAGTCGATAGTCTAGTGTTGCAGTTCATACCGAGAGGTATTTTTGTAGCATTATTTTTATCAGGTTCCTTGCTTGAGAGAGTTTAGGAGCATTTTCAACAAATTCTATTGGGCAACATACTTTGTAAGAGAATAAATCATTCGCAGCACAGAATATTATTGCCATAGAAAATCCAAGCCATTTGCCTCTAGAGAAGCTTGATTGTGTGAGGTTGTCAGTCTTATCTTATTTACCAAGGTTTAATTTATTTTATTGCCTTAGCATACTTTTGCAAATCACTTGAATTTTTGTCTCTGCACACTTTACTTTTTCAATAAATTTCTGCCACATCAACTCCACTCCATTTCACTCTATTCTTGCCACAGCATTCCATAATCATTTATACATATCATCTGTCACAATTATATTTTTATTTATTTATACAATCATAAATATATACTTAGATTTAGTTCGTGATAGCTTTTGTTTGCTATAGCTTGCTTTAGAAATACCTCAAATCCCTGTGGAGACGATACTCACTCATTACAGTATTACTTGCAATGATTGTGTATACTTGCACATATTTTCATGTCACGTCACAATGTATTTACATGGATCAAGTTTTTGGCATTGTTTCTTGGGATTGACAACTAGTTATGTTTTTTAAAGTTTCGCTATAGAAAGAGTTTTTGCTTTTAGTTTTACTTGTTATTTTGATTTATTTCTTTTTTAAGTTTTATTGTTACATGAACTGACGAACTGTCGAGGAACCACTTTATCCTCTAGTTCCAGAGATCGAGCATTTATTTCATCGAAGACATGTGGTCAACGTGTTAATAGAGTCATGAACAATGATCAAAACCAACGTGTTTAGCAAGTTCAAGATCCTATAGATACAAATGTTGCAACATTTAGGAATGAAGGACTTGTACCTTGTCTGAGAGTTATTCGAGATCACTTAGCTCCTATTCTGGATGATCTTAACCCAGGGATCGTAGCACCCGAGATCAAAACAGCCCACTTCGAGATTAAACCTGTCATGTTCAACATGTTGAACTTAATTAGATAGTTTGGTGGTATGCTTAATGAAGATGAAAGGCAACACATCCATACTTTCTTTGAAGTTTATGACTCATTCAGATAGGAAGGAATGTAAGAAGATGAGCTAAAGCTAAAGTTGTTCCCCTACTCATTGCGTGACCGAGCAAGAGCTTGGCTCAGTGAAGTGTCATCTAGTTTGATGAAGTCCTGGGCTGATCTGTTTAAAAGCTCTTTGTTACGGTATAATCCGCCCAACATGAACACTCAACTTCAAAATGACATACATTTTTCTACCAATCTGATGATGAATCAATGTATGAGTGTTGGGACCATTATAAAGGTTTTCTTCCTAAATGCACCAACCACGGATTCCACGATTGGACTCAAGTCGTGATGTTTTATAATAAAGTGAATGCACCCACACGTATGATGTTAGATGCTTTAGCAAATGGTATTTTTCTTGACAAATTACCCAAAAAGGCCTTTAACATACTTGACAGGATAGCCAACAATGACTATCAATTTCCCTTTTCAAGGTTTGGAACCAGAAGTAAGGTAATTGGGACATTCGAGTTAGATGCTAAGGATTCAGTGTCTCCCCAACTTTCTGCCATAATAAATATATTGAAGAATCTACAACGTTCCAGTGAGGTGAAGGAAGTTAAAATGGTCAGTTCTGCATGTTTATTATGTAGTGGAAATCACAGAGTGAATGCCCTGACAATCAAGAATCCGTCAACTACGTGGAGAATTTTAATTGAAACAACAACAACACCTACAACCTATGATGGTGTTAGCATCCTAACTTTTCATGGGGAAATCAAGGGGCAAACAACAACAATGTAGGCAACACGAATAAGCCACAGTATAATATTTTTGAATCTTAAGGATTTAAGTAATAACATGTGACATGGCAGAATGTTAACAAGGGTTCAACTTCTACTTCAAATTCTAATTATCTTGAAGCTACTATGCACGATTTTTTGGCTTCAAAAAAGTCTTTACTGCATGAGCACTCATCGATTATTAAAAGCTAAAGCACATTGTGGAAAAGTCAAGCAACCTTGTTGCAAAGTCACATGTCGTCTTTGAGAGCACCGAAGAATCAAATGGACCAAATTGATACAACATTACATGTTCACCCACATGGAAGTCTCCCTAGTGATACTGAAGTCACTAAGCCTCATGGAAAGGAGCAATCACACTGAGGAGTGATACCTAACTCAATCAAGTAGACATGTTTGAGGGGAAGAAGTAAGAAGATTCCGCCCTAGCGTTGTGCAACTCGAACTGAATTGCAAAAAGAATTATCTATAAAAAGGGAAAAGATTAGTTCTACGAGTAAATGTACTGATGAAGGACAAACTAATGTCACAAAAAAGTTGTTCCCCCACCTGCAGCAAAAGAAGTCAGACCCTCACCACTCTTCACTCAAAGACTGAAAAAGCAAAATGATGACATTCATTTCAAGAAGTTCGTTAACATCATTGACCAGCTATACATAAATGTCCCACTTCTTGAGGCCATTGATCAGATGGTGACCTATGCTAAATTTCTCAAGGATATTGTTACAAAGAAGAGAAATGTGGAAATGTTTGAAACTGTTGTCATACTAAAAGAATATTATTCTACACTCACTAAACATCCATCGAAACGAAAAGATCCTAGAAGCTTTGTTATTCCATGTTCTATCGGTGAAAAATATATGGGAAGATCCCTATGTGATCTTGGGTCAATTGTTAAATTTGATTCCCAAATTCATGTTTTTGAAGCTTGTAATGGGTAATGCTTGACCTACCACTGTGATCCTACAACTAGTTGACCGGTCTCACGTTCGTCTCGAGGGAAGAATTAAGGATGTCATAGTAAAAGTTGACAAGTTTTTATTCCCTGCTGATTTTCTTATTCTTGACTGTGAGGACGACGACAATGTGCCCATCATATCGGGGCATCTTTTTCTAGCCACTGGTCATATTCTCATCGACTTTGAGAAGGGAGAATTTACAATGCGTGTACCCGATCAGAGTGTAACTATCAATGTATTCAACATACTCAAGTATGTGGACATATGTGTTGGACATGGATTCTACGGTCGAGGATGAGTTTGCAAAATTTTGTTACGGTATTTTTTTACAGTTGAAGGACTATGAGAGACTTACTGAAGATGAAGTATTTGCAGAGTATGAGGAGTTTTCATCAGAGGTGGATCATTTTAGCTTACTCGTAGCTAGAAAAGGTGTGTGTTTTGAACCTTTAGACTTTGATGAATTTGTTTCTCCAAAACCTTCTCGCTACAACATGCATATACCTTAGAACTAAAACCTTTTTCATCACATTTAAAGTATGCTTATCTAGGTAGTGATAATATACCTATTATAATATCTTTTATTATAATAATTGATCAAGAATACATTTTGATAAAGGTATTGTCACAACATAAGAAAGCTCTAGGTTGGACTATGGAGAATTTCAAGGGAATAAGCCTACCATTTGCATGCACAAGATCCAGTTAGATGATTGTTACAATAATTTGTGGAACCCCAAAGAAGACTCAACCCTATAATAAAGGAATTGGTGATGAATGAGAGTGGCTTGATGCTGGTGTGATTTACCCTATCTCCAATAATTCATGGGTCAGCCCGGTACAAAGTATACCAAAGAAACGAGGCATGACTGTGGTGAGCAACGAGGAGAATGAACTTTTATTGACGAGGACCATCATAGGTTGGAGGATTTGTATAGACTACCAAAAGCTAAACAAGACGACTAAGAATGACAATTTCCTCTCTCATTCATCATTCAAATGATAGATCGACTGACAGGCAAGTATTTTATTACTTCCTTGATAGAAACTCAGGGTACAATCAGATTTCCATAGCGCCATAAGACCAAGAGAAAACCATTTTCACGTGCCCCTACGAGACCTATGCCTTCAAAACAATGTCATTAGGACTATGTAATGATCCAACAACCTTTCAGAAGTGTAAGTTATCTATTTTTTCAGATATAGTGGAAGACTTCTTGGATATCTTTATGGACTATTTTTCTGTCTCGGGCGACAACTTTGACAAATGCCTTGGCAACTTGGCTAAGGTACTTAAAAGATTTGAAGAGGCCAATATAGTGCTCAACTGGGAAAATGTCACTTTGTGGTGATTGAAGGAATCATACTAGAGCATAATATTTCTCAAAATAGAATAGAGGTTGACAAAGCTAAGGTTGAATTTATCGAGAAATTGCCTCCACCCACCACCGTGAAGGGTATAAGGAGTTTCTTGGGGCATGCAGGATTCAACAGGAAATTCATCGAAGACTTTTTAAAAATTTTGAAGCCTCTTTGTCTTCTGAAACATCATAATCAACCATTCATGTTTGATAAAGAGTGATAGAATGCGTTTATGGAGTTGAAGGAAAGACTTGTTACAACATTGATAGTTATCCCACATGACTGGACGATTCCCTTTGAATTGATGTGCGATGTAAGTGACTACGCTGTGGGAGCCGTGCTTGGGAAAAGAAGAGGTAAACTTTTCCATGTCATTCATTATGCTAGTCACACACTGAATGAAGCACATATAAACTATACAACCACTGAAAAAGAATTACTTGCTGTGGTGTTTTCTTTTGATAAGTTCAAGGCATACTTGATATGAATTAAGGTCATTGTGCACATCGATCACTCGACCATTAAGTACTTAGTGAATAAAAAAGATATCATTCATTTTGCTACGAGAAAATTTTATCGACCGTGGTATTTTCGTGGTATGCTAACATATTTAACTTTCTTGTTAGTGGTGTTTTGCCTCATGATTTAAACAGACAGGGCAAAAGGAAGTTCAGAAATGACGTGTGACACTATCAGTGGGATGAGCCTTACCTATTCGAGCAATGTGCCTATTAAATGATTAGGAGGTGTATTCATGAAGAAGCGCAACAGGATATTCTATTCCATTGCCACAACGCATCGTATGGAAGCCATTTTGGAGCTGTAAGGATAGCTGCAAAGGTCATACAGTCTAGATTTTATTGGCCTATGCTTTTTAAAGATGTACACGAATTCTGGAAGTCGTGTGATCGATGTCATTGCACTGGGAACATTTCGAAAAGACATGAAATGCTATGGCAAAACATTATGGAGAGAGAAATCTTCGATGTATGGGGAATATATTTCATAGGACCCTTCCCATAATCATTTGGTGATCTTTATATCTATTTAGCAGTTTACTATGTGTCCAAATGGGTCGAAGCCATAGAAACTCCAAGAAATGACTAGAAGAATGTGCTCAAGTTCCTTCATATAAGCATATTCACTTGATTTAGAGCACCTAGAGCCATTATCAATGATGACTTACTTCGATAATAAATTGATTACTAAGGCTTTGCAATGGTATGTGGTGTGGCATAAAATTGCTATAGCATATCACCCCTAGACCAATGGGTAGGCTGAGGTATCCAACCGAGAGATAAAGCAGATTCTCGAGAAGGTAGTGAACCCGAAGAGAAAAAACTTGGTCTCTAAAGCTCGATGAAGAAATATGGGCTTATCGAACAACCTTTAAGACTCCACTGGGCATATTCCCGTTCAAGTTAGTGTATAGAAAGGCGTGCCATCTTCCTGTCGAGCTGGAGCATAAAGCCTACTGGGTGATTAATAAGCTCAACATGGACGCCCAACTGGCTGGTGAGAAAAGATTCCTAGAGCTAAATGAAACAGAGGAGTTTCACGCTCAGGTTTATGAGAATGCCTCCTTGTACAAAGAGAAGACCAAATGATGGCATGACAAAAATATTTTTCCAAGGCAATTTCATGAAGGCCAACAAGTCATCCTATACATTCTAGGCTGAAGCTTTTTCTGGGTAAACTAAAGTCTTGATGGTCTGGACCTTTCTAGGTGCTTCACGTGTACCCATATTGAGTAGTAGACATCAAAAACCTCAACGATGGCTCGATCTTTAATGTGAATGGACAACGTCTCAAGGTATATACTATAGCCCAAATCTTGAGAGACAAGTCAACACTTATCCTCAATTATGTCTCATAGTTTGTACCATCCACTTTTTAAATATTCTCTATAGCATTTTATTTTGCAGTTTGTATATAAATAAATATTTTAACTTAACCGTATGTTTTCTTTCCTTTTCAGTTTGATTTTAACTATATTTTGTTTCCTAGTTTATCCAAGGACATGTGGCAGTATGGGGAGAAAGCTTAACAGAGGACAAAAAGAAACCCTAGAAATTTTTGGCTAAGGCTACAAAAAGGGGGGGAAACAAATCTCTTATTTATTTATTTTAATCTTTTTAACTTTTCAACCCACCAATCATATTCTACCTCATTGTTACCTTCATTTTTTTTCTTTCTTACTTTGCATTAACTCCCCCAAAACCACTCACTTTATATCTTTAAATCTGCCCACCCTTCTCTCTTTCTTCTTTAATTTGCCTTTATTTCTTTAAGTTTTCTTTCAACTTCTTATTCTCCACCTGATTTCTGCCATAGTCACCACCTAAGTTTTTCTTTCTCTTTTTTTTCACCGTTAAACCTCAATTTCTACCACAATAAAGATTTCTCTTCTATTTTCTTTTGTCATAGTTGAGATAGCCCACTGTAAAAATGTTTGCGGTGAAGTATCTTTTCTAAACTACCACTGCAAAACCCTGTGGAAAATTTAAAGACGACGCAACAAAGGAAATATTCCAACACATCAAAGGCTGGTCAATGTACTTGGAGCAATATTTTATTCTGTCGAATGAAGATGAAGAGCCTCTCTCCCCTGAAGTAACATTTGTCATAGTAAAACATCACTGGTAGATTTTTACTTAGCATCTGGGTGATGTAGCCCTAGCCATAGTGAGGGAGTTCTACACTCACCTAACCATCCCTACAATACATGGAATATGAGAGAGGAAAGAAGGTTCATTTCACCTCAGTCGCCATCAACCAATTCTTCGAGCTGGAAAACGTACCCAACGACCATGCAAAATTTTTTGCTGAGGAGGATGTTGAAACCTACATGGGAGTCTTGGAAGATCTGAGCTTCCAAGAGACATAATGAAAGGGCTTGAAACTGAGCAAATGGGGTGTAGAGAGGCGTTGTTTGAAGCCTCAAGCAAAGGTATGTAATCACTTCATTAAAACTCGATTAAGCCTTCATCGCACCATACAACTGTCTCGCTGCAACAAATGCTTCTTTTGCATTCCATTATTTTTAGTGTCTGATCTGTAACACCCATAACCCATATACGTATACCAATATGAATTATATATGTCACATTAATTATTTAAAACAATGTCCAACTCAAGCGTGATTTAAACAAATCTTCCTTTTTAATTCTCTAAATCGTAAACATTATTATAAAATATTAATTTATATAAAACTAACACATAATATTTAAAACGGATATTGATATAAAATATGTACATTTATAATAATAATAATAATAATATTAATAATAATAGGTAATACTATCCATAGTGAAATATAGTAAAGTAGTTTAGTTTAGGCATTACAAACCAGTTCCAAAATAGTTCAACGGAGCAACTAGGACAAGTATAAGTACATGTCACTAACTAAGTCTAAATCACATTAGAGGATATCTTACTGATACTATAATATACTCCTCAAAAATTAGGGTTCCTCAACACTCCTTATTCCTACTCCTGATCTTTAACTATGCATAAAAAATCATCACATGCTAAGTATACACTTAGCGAGGCAATCAAAAATAATAAACAGTGCAATACATCACGAATATGTAACCATATGTCATCATCAAATATAGCATGATCACTTACCTGTGTATATATCAAGTTACTATAGTTAACATGATAATGATGCAATATAAAATATTTTTAATAAACTATAGCCCAAAATATAAACCTTGAGGGCCTTGGGTACACTAGTTAAATATATATGCACCGTAGTGCTAGCCTGAGTATGACACATAAGGTCGTGCCCACTATATACATTAGTTATACTTTTGTGCAGTCCAAAATATGCAACCTACTGTTGGACTCTATGGCATCCCAACTATACCCTGTCCTTCAATAACTCACGTGGGCCTATAGTCTATTTTTGATTCATCCATGATAATATATCAATTTCATTAAGAATTTGGGCAGTTCATACCCAAACTAACATTCACATATATGTATCCACAAGTGATCAATGCATTTGATATTTAACTTTTGACATATTCCAACACGTCAAATACAATATAAATAACATAAATATCATGCTAATGTAATTAAGGTAGACTCTTGCAAGTCTTCCTAGTGTTGTATAAACATCTATGAATAATGTCATGCATGCATTGCAATCACCTTGACACTTTATATATTTCAAAAGATTTGCCTCACTAAGCTCCAAACTTAATCATTTTTATACTCGATTAGCTTCGATCACAAAGTCAATCACGATATGTACAAAATAAAAAATTTATATCGATACATATGTTAGTATTGTACTAACATAAATACATTTCAAAAACTAAATCCATAGTTATTCTTAATACTTATTCGATATCGAATACTTCAACATCTATGAATTCTTTTAATGTTGGCCCCAACTTTTCCAATTTAAGTAAAATGTTCCTTCACCATTTTACCCACTTAAATTTTAATACTAAAGATTCCAGCATTGAACTAATTACCAACCAAGTACATTTATAATTATAAAGACATCTTAAAGTACCCTAAACTATTCAAATATTGCATATAAATCATCAAACTTTCCAAGATTCCAAAATAATCCAATTTCACATTTTAACATCCATTTAAATTCCCAAACAACAATTCCCAGTATAGTACCACAATTATTTAACAATTTTTGAACAAAACAAAACTTTTCAATAATTGTTGATTTGGTCCCTCAACTTTTCAAAAATTACCGAATGGCCTTAAAAATTTTCTAAGGCTTGTAAAATACTTCTTACATCATTTACAATCCCTACATAATTTTTCTCACTCCATAAGGTCAAGGTCGAATACTTCAAAGTTCCAAAACTAGGATTTTCATGATTTTGCTCGATTTTGATTCGATTCAAACATGAAATTGACGTTCATTCAACCTTATAAAACCTCTACAATTAATTAAATAATCAAATTTCATCAAAATACAACTTTCACTAACTTTTAGGGTTAGGCTAAAATTTATGGAAATATTTCTAGGAGGATTGAACATGTTTTAATCATCAAACAAGCTTGCAAATGAATCTACAACCTCAAAAACATCAAGTTTCATCTTTAATTCCATAAACCCTAATTTGAACACAACCCCTAAAATTTGAGGTCTTTCAACAAAAGATTGACATGCGATATTGGTACCAAATGATAGTGTTTTTCGTGTAGAATAATTTTCTATTTCATGGCATGATCCAAAATCCAAAGGAAATTACTCAAAATTGAAAAGAAAATTTTTCTTACCTTAGGAGGAGGATCATGGCTTGATGGATTATTTTGGGATAAGTTTCATGAAATTTCTAAGTTTAATTTCATGTTAATTTAGCCTTATTTAAGCTTAATGAATTTATTATTCATTTACGTAGGAAAAGACCAATTTACCCTTAATGAAACTTCATAATTACCATCAAACTAAGACACATCAACCTTATCATCTTACAAAGGGCAAAGATGAACAAATTCTTTCACCCTTTTCCAATTTAACCAAACAACTTTCCAAAAATTTCAATCTTGCCATTTAAATCCAAAGGTCCAAATTAAACATGGAAATAAATCCTCAAATCCAATGGTATATATTATTTTCCATCATTTTAAAATTGGAAATAATATTTTTTAAGCCTAATTTATCATCCTTCAAATTTTCCCAAAAAAATTATATTCGATCCGATTTACTGAATTCCTACAGGACTTTAACCCTTTCTTGTTTTTAACATAAATTCCGAATCGAGAATATGATTTCCATAAATCCCCATTCTCAAAGTTAAACTATCTATTTATGGGATAACAATTAGTTTTAGGAATATTACCACTTAGGTCCCTGAATTTTTTCTAATTTTATACTTTATCTACTAAACTTTTAAAACTTATATTTTGGTCACTAGCTAAAATTTTGGGGTATTACAATTCTCCCAATTAAGAAAATTCATCCTCAAATTTTAATACGTACATAATGTAAAGAGATGTGGATACTGCTTTCTCATATCCTCATCCATTTCCCAGGTAGTTTCCTCAACCTTGTGATTCAGCCAAAGCACTTTGAAAAGGGGTATCGTCTTGTTTCTCATTTCTGTGACTTCTTGAGACAAAATATGTATTGATTCTTCTTCATAAGTCAAATCTGGTTAAATCTCAATCTCATACGGTGTAATATTATGCGAAGGATCTTTTCGATATTTTCTAAGCATCGATACATGAAAAACATTATGAATCTTGTCCATTTGCGGAGGCAATGCTAACTGGTAAGCTACCGGTCTAACTCTCTTTAAGATTTCATAAGGTCCAATAAATATCGAACTCAACTTTCCTTTGCACCCAAAGCACAATATCTTTTTCCACGGTGATCTTTGACAAAGACTTTATCACCTTCTTGTAATTCAATCCCTTTTCTCTTCAAGTCTCCATAGGACTTTCCGGTTAGAATTGGATAATCTTCACTTTATCTTAGACCTCTTTTAATAAGTCAAGGTCAACTAGATCTTATTCCTTTAACTTAATCCAATTCAACGGTGTTCGATATTTTCTCTCGTACAAAGCCTTGTACGGTGTTATCTTAATACTTGACTGGTAACTGTTATTGTAGGAAAATTCTACA